TGTGTGTGTGTGTGTGTGTGTGTGTCGTATGTTGACAAATAATTACCAATTTCAGATAATAAGGCATGGGAGATGTGTCTGTGCGCAGTTCCTTGATATACAAGGCCAACTCCCATTAGCGCCGCTACTTGGACATTCTGCTGCACATTTAATTCGATACTCGTCGGCGGCAGGAGCGTTTCCATGTGCAACGATAATAATTTAGTCATAGATACGTTCATCGTGCCGCGATAAGTCGCCGATAAGCCCAACAGAAGTCCAACGCTGGTAGCTTCATGACAATCGGCCAGATATTCGTATGTACTTAAAGGAGCCAAGTTTTTCAGATGCCCATTTAAACCGAGCGCCATCAGAAATCCCGAGTGTTCCACACCGTATTCACCCTGTTGCTGTTTATTATACACTATCCATGTCGAGTCGATGTTCGCAGCATCCGGATGAATGCACAGGCCTGCAGCTACGCCGTTATGAAACAGCGGCCACAGATTCATGTTCGGCGGAACGTCTATGTGAGTTAACTCGACGGTAGTTCCACGGGGTGGTGCCTTGCCTAATGAAAGAAATATAAAACAGTTTTAATTAATCAATTTAAAAAAAAATTAATTCAAAGCGGTGATATGCAATCGTACCGGTTAGACATAACCGTGGAATGGGCAACTGCTCCGTTATCATCGGAGTGGAGGTTCTCAATGTAAACATGCCTCTAGCTACAGGCAATGCCATCGTTCTCGTGCACAACGTGAGCAGGTGCCTTTCCTGCTCCTCTATGAACTCGTGATCGCTTACGTTCGATCTTTGAACGATCGCTATCCTCATTGGCTTCGAGGAATTAAGCAATCTTCGCACCTCAGCAATTCTATGATCCTTACTAAATCGTAGCTTTAATATCTGTGCGAATTGAATGAAACAGAACCCAAGTTATAAGCATTGTAAAAAAAATTTGTCTATATCTTACGTAAATCCATAAATAATTTTGCAAAGCATTCATATGTAGAAGAAAATCGCATAATCATGTACCATATCATCAAATTCCATGCCGTCGTCCTGTTCATCCTTTATCCCATAATCCCTCGTTTCACTGTCAGTATATTGCAATCTCGACGACGGTTTTAAATGCTTATCCAAGACTGCTAGATCTTGGCGATCGATGAGTTCGTACGCGTGCACAGGCCAATTCGACGGTGGACTCTCTCTACATCTGTGCATAACGTCCTTTATCATCAAGGATACTGCAGGTGGCAATGTCTCGAGGTCTCCTTTCTTCATATCTAGAATCAAAATATTGTTATATTTTTCTGGAAAAGAAATAATTTTCACTCAATTACTTGCTGCAACATAATCTCTCTCTTACCCATCTCATGATATAATAACATTATCCTATCCGTCGTGGGTTTCTCCAATTTCTTCAGTATCTCTTTGTCAGATTTGCTTCCGTACATTTCTTGAAGATCAATACGATTTCCGGCAGGTACAATTAATTTGATGTACTTTTCCATTTCCATTATATCAACACGATTTTCATTTGCCATAAGCGCTGTTAGATACACTATGTTTCTCGTTCTTGGATTAACGTGGCTTAAATACGGAAATGCAGTTACGTCCGCTCCGCTCAACATATTATTTAACGTTTCAAATACGCCTGGCGGTTTCCGTGGCAGGTAACTTGGAATTGCTATTTTCTGCAGATCCGAATCGCTGATTTGAGATCTCACGGTCTTCAGATAGGACAACGAAGGTGAATCGAGAAAGTAATGATGAGCGTACATTTCGAACTTCAGATCTATGCTTAACTGATACAATAGTTGCCCGAGCAACGGCAGACTTTCCGATATGATGCTGCTTAATTTCAATTCTTCGTATAACAGATGAAGAGAAAATAGAATAAGTGGAAAATGCGGAAACAAGATGGCTTGTACATTTATCTTGCCAACGTTACTCGATTCCGTAGCGTCTTTAGACGTCCCGCAAAGTAAATTGGATATTTTCTGACCCTTCAACACATTCGAGGCAAAAATTCGAGAATTTTTGTATTCGTTTGAATTTAATATGTACAGCCAATCATCCGTAGATCCGCAATTGCTAGTTTTCTGCTTTTTGGGCAGCACCATAGGGCTGTTACGTTCCGTAAGCTGATCCTTATCGTTGTTTTGTATCATGTGCAGTTTTTCCACATCATATCCCATTAACGTGAACAGAACTGTAAGAAAGAGATCCCACTCTTGCGCCGGTGAAAAGTCTTGTGGGCCTGGGGCATTTCTAGCGCCGTACCATTTAACCAACAATTGCATCGCCAAGTCTCTTTGCAGAACACTTCGTAATGTATTTAAACATTTAGTAACTGTAAAACATATGTAATCTGAATTAATTTATGATACATGCGTGTGAATAATTTGAATTATTTGCAATATACTTTACCTAAAGGGGACGTACTGGAAACAGGTAATGTTATACGGAAATATTGCTTGTTTCCGCATTCCACGGTTACCTCATTGCCCACAGTTTCTTTCAAAGCGAGAAAATTCGTGTCCAGCAATGAATTTTCCAACAGTATCGGCGGGCGGGCACAATTACCACCTACAGGACTCAGCAAGTGTAAAGCTTCTTCGAATTTAATCTCATGCGAGGCTGTACAGCTCTGAGAGATCAAAGAACTACGTCTCGGAAATGGAGATCCGAGTTTAGGATTGCTATTCGATAAAAAGTAATTGTTGCCCGTAAAATTGGAGAGCATGCCGGATATGTGTAATTTGCCCACGCATGTAACTCCTGTGTATAATGCTATACCGTTTGACAAGTCCACAATTGCTATCATATGCAAATTCTGGAAAAAATGCAATTTTTTAATGTAAATATTAAGTTATTTCAATTGACATTCGATTAACATCTTACGTATATTTCAAATAATTTTGTGTTTTCGTTATTTTAAGTAAAATATACGGATAAATAATATATACTGACCGGCAAACTGATGGCATCCTTAGCGATGATGTTCGTTACCATCCCGAAAATGATCTGTTGTTGTTTATTAGTCTTCTCTAATCTGACTAAAGAGAATTGCGAGCGATTCGGAATCAAATAGCCCAAGTAATTCTGTCCAACAAGATCCGATGTTAAAAAGACCTTTGATGCACGACCAGTATCTCTAAAAAAAATAAAGAAAGAACAATAACATTTTAAAATTTATTCATTATTTAATAAATATTAATAATTTTAATATTAATAATATTAATAATATTAATAATTTTCTCCTTGAAACTTCCTGAAAGCGATATGCATAGTGCGAAATACTTACTTTGACACGCCAACGTTTTCCGTCCACACATGTTCGAGACAGATTTCAGGATACAAAGGTTTGCTTGCGATTGGAATATCTTTCAATCGGATGCTATTGTAACTGGTGGCTGGGCTGTGCGTTTGATTCAAGCCGGTCACCATGATAGTCTGATGTAATCTGCTTTGGAAGATGTTTGAGTTTACAGGTGCTCCAAGTAGAGGAGACATAGCCACCGAATGTGTGGGTGACTGACAACGTGAAATGGTAGCCATCGAACTTTGTGAACGTGAATGCTGTTGCTGTTGAGAAGGCGACGGCCCGCCCGAGTTGGTACTATAGGAGGTGGTACGCGATCCAAACGGCGTATTGGACAATCCTAAACTTATACCGGTGTTATTTGTATTTATCTCCAAGCTTGGAATTCCTGCGAGAGATATCATTTAATCACGTCAGTTTTTCCTATCATTCGCTTCAATCAAATTGTACAATTATTATATAATTATTATTTAGCAGCTCTTATATTACGATATCTAAAGATCAATTGACTGAATTATCGTTTTTTCATGTGGATGAATATGTGTACTTTCACAAAAGTATGTGGATATTTACCAGAAAGGGAAAAAAGAAAGGGACTTAGAGGACCCTTATTTGTGTGGCTTTTGTTGGCGGATAAATTGCTGCCAACATTTAATGGCGACATTGTCGAGTGATTGACGTTCGTGTCGTTACTTCCACAAACTATTTGGCGTTCCTCGGCTAAGGCTTTGCGAATTTTGTAAACCGAATGCAAACCCGTCTTCGTATCGTATACCACCGCAAAGGATGGTTCCGAGTTAGTGAATATAATTTGCTGATTCGACTCGTTCATGTACGACACAGATCCTAAAATATTTAATTCAATTGTATAAGCAATAAAAGTTAATCGGAACATTTAATTTTCATTAGTCACGCGAATGCACGTGATACTTTTGACAATACATGTTCTTCATATTTAATTCCATAAATAAATTGTTTACCATGCTTAATAAGTAGAGGACAAATTTCATCTAATGGATGCATTAATGAAAACGCCACTGGTAAATTATTTTCGTGTTGCGTTGGTACTCTGCTGCTTTCAAACGATAAGTACCTGAAAATAAAATGTATAAACCTAAATATGTTGTAATTAAACGTTTATCTATCATAAAAACACAAGAATGTAAAAACATAAATAATTATCATTGAATTTTATTTTGTGTTTAATTTTTAAATAAATTATATATATACCTCAAATCTGTAATCGGCACTTGAGATTTTTCGAGTATAATTCCATATTTAGTCGGCCACACGGCGGAGACCTGTTGTCAATTGATGATCATGTATTTAAAATTATGTGACAAATTAGTATAAATCTCTACAATTCATTTGATTGTAATAATTTTTTTCATAAAAGAAACGACGATAATAACTATTTCTCTGAATGCTAATTCGCTTTGTTTTTAATAAATTTGTAATTGAAATGAAATCAAATTCACAACATTATAAATCTTTTTGTTATTTGCTTGCAAGTTTTAAGCATTCATCTTCACTATTTTACAAAAAAAAATGCCTTACCTGAAATTGTAAAGCAGAAACATAGTCTTCGCCATTTTCTGTAAAAACCTTAAGAGTATAGGAATCAAGCAAGCAAATACACTCTATAGATTTGTCAACAGCTTCATATTCTTTACTCTTGGTCAAGTGATCTGGGATGCTGGTGTGAAAGGTACACCAAAGTGCATGCTTAATATCAGTTTCACATGTGTAGGTTGCTTTAAGCACGCGAGTGCTTTGATTGCCCTTACAGTGAACCGCTACTTTTCCTGAATAATATAATTCTTCCTCCCCGCATATTTTATTATCGCGTACCAACCATGTCTCTTTCTAAAAATCATGAATTTTTCATTAAATATCATTTTGAAGAGATTACGCATGGAGAAGAATAAATTAGGAGAGAACAGATGTTGGGGAGAGACATAAGCTTTCTTCAAATTTGACTTAATTTTCTATTGCTTTAGCAAAATGATATTCAGATCAACATGTGTGTAACCAGAATTCGATGCAGACAACATCGCTAATCGCGAGCATAAATTTCCAAAATCCATTCTCTCCTCTTTACTATAGTCACTTATTTTGAAATCTTACAGGAGATTTTTCCGATATATTTACTTCGCTAAACCTTTTTAATAGAACATTTTCTCCACCAACCGTTCGATTATTGGACAACTGCTGGCTGATCAGGGAACCAGGATGCTTTAAGATTATCTCTCGGCCACCTGGCTTGTATTCCTTAAAGAAACAACAAGACTTCTTATTAGTAACTTCTTTATCAATCATTTCAAATAATTTCTAAATTGAGTTTCCATCAAAGATGATCATTGAGCTTCTTTGCATTTTATACATATTAAATAGCACAAACGAATATTATGTCATACGTAAATTAGATACAATAGTCGTTCGTTCAACATAATCTAAAAGATTGATTCTATACAATCTAGTCAAACAAAGAGCAAATTAAAGATAAAATATTACTTCAGTTGCAAAAGGCATAAGTCAGAGATATGGATTGATTCGGAAACGTTTTGATCTTACGCTGTGTGAGATGTCAAATCTGAAATGAGACAGTAATCACATTTGTGTTATGTCGCGACATCTCCTTAAAAATGTTTAATACGTACAATAGTAGCAAAAAGTTAAAGGACTGATTTTTATGAATATGCTCTTCTCATATAGTTTGAATAATAAGGATTGTGCAAAATGTTATCATTTACTCAGAACTAAAGCGCAGAAATGCTTCTGTTGCTTTTTTCCTGAGAATTTTCGAATTCTATGGCCAAATCTAACCAAAAAATTCAAATAAAAATCCTTATAACTTTGGATTGCTTCAGTGAATCGACTCCGGCTTTTGTCTTAAGTCTTTCAACATATAAGAACAATCTGTAAAATTTTTGTTAAATTCCCATTATTTA